AAACCCACAAACCGTGAGATCAGGACCTGAGCCCAAGTTGGGCACTGAACCAACTGAGCCACCCAGGTGCCCCTGTTAATTCTTCAATTTCTGTAATGGTAAATGGTCTATTCAGGGTTTTTGGTGGGTTACCTACTGCAGTGCATTGGTAGCATATTTACTCAAGTAGTCTCCCATCTAATTCTCCAATATGTAATTAGAACTTTTTTTCTTTAAAGTAATGTCTACGCCTAATATGGGGCTTGAACTTACAACCTTGAGATCAAGAGTTGTGTGCTCTACGAATTCAGCCAGCCAGGTGACTGTAGAATTAGAACTTTTTGAGGGAAGAATTCCAGGCTATTCATTTCTATATTCCCCATGAAAGGCACATAATAAATAGCCATTCAGTGGAATAAATGAATATTGATGTTTAACTGCTGTAATAAATATCTCCCAACAATTCAGTAGCTTAATTTAATAAAAATCTCTTTGTTATTCACGTACAAATCTATTCCTCACCTAACTGTCCATTGTGGGTATCCCAGGTCAGTGGGAGCCTTCCCACTGTGATGATTCAGGACTCAGGCTCCTTCCACTATGTGGCCTGGCCATTCCCTCTGCGTTGAGCTGGCGTTTGGGAGAAGAGAGGAAGGAGTAGGTTTCTGACTTTTAAATGCCTTGGTCTAGAAGTGACACTCAATGCTTCCATTCACATCCTTTGGTGAGTCACGTGACCCAATCTATATGCAGCAGGGAGGCTGGGAAATGTAGTTCCTGGCTGGGCCTCGGCTGCCCAGCTGCAACTCTATACCATGAAGTGGCGAAAGAGACTTTTTAGTGGACAGTTAACTGTCTCCTTCACAGGAGGCCACAAAGTTTTATTGCTGAGGTTTTTCACTGCTTTGCTCTGTGAAGCTTTTTTTTGCTTGTGTTTGATGAATGGCTGTTTTCATGGCTGCCAAGAGCTATTGAGTAAGAATGTAACTGCAGACATTCATTTCCTTGCTGTGTTTGTCTGACAACTCACTGTCTCACAGCTGGAAAACTCATTACTCATGGGTACTTCTTTCCCAGGTACAAGAACATAAAGATGTATTTATTGAACTCTTTTCAGAGCAATGGCGATGAGCTATTAATCAAAAACTATACTCAAATATTAAGTGTAAATACTAGAGAAAATGCAAATATTAAAGACAACCTAAAAATACATACCAGTCAAGTATTTCATTTCACTCACTTTTTAATTGAAATATAATTCATATAACACAAGATTTCACACAACATAACATAAGAAGTCTCATTTTTAAAGTGTAAAATTCAGGGGTTTTAGTATACTCACAACGTTGTGCAACCATCACCACTATCCAATTCCAGAACATTTCCATCATTCCAAGAAGAAACCCTGTAACTGTTAGAAGTCACTCCCAGTTCCTGCCCTTCCCTCTCGCCCCCAGTGCCTGGCAACCGCTAATATACTTTCTGTCTCCATAGGTTTGTCTGTTGTGAACATTTCATGTAAATAGATTCGTACAACACGTGGCCTTTGTGTCAGTTTCTTTCATGCAGCATACCGTTTTCAAAGTTCATCCTTGTTGTAGCTCGTACGAATACTTCATTTCTTTTTGCAGCTGATTTAATATTTCATTGAATGGATATATTCCACTTTGTTTACACATCAATCTTTCATTTAAAGATTTTTAATTGTGGGGGCCTGGCTGGCTCAGTCCGTTAAGTGTCCGACTTTTGATTTTGGCTCAGGTCATGATCTCACTGGGTGTGGGATCAAGCCTCATGTCAGGCTGAGCGTGTGGGCCCTGCCTGGGATTCTCTATCTCCCTCTCTCTGTCCCTACCCTGTTTGCACACCGTCTCTCTCAAAATAAATAAATAAATAAATATTAAGGAATTTTAATTGTGGCCAGATACATATAAAATGTACCATCTTAACCATATTTTAAGTGTTCAGTTCAGCAGTATTAAAGTATGTTCACATCGTTTGTGCAGCCATCTCCAAACGCTTCTCGTCTTGCAAAATTGACAATCGATTTCCATTAAACAATAACACCCCACTCTCCCCTCCCTCCAGCCCCTGGCATTTGTATTCTACTCTCTGTCTCTATGAATTTGACTACTTTAGGGACCTTGTATAAGTGGAATTGTACAAACTTGTTGTTTTGTGGCTGGCTTATTTCACTTAGCATTCATGTCCTCAAGGTTCATTCATGTTGTAGCATGTGTCAGAATTTTCCTACTTTTTCAAGGCTGAATAATCGTTTATTGTATATATATATATATATATATATATATATATATATATAT